CAGCTGAGAGTTTGGGGAATGGATGGGAGCTCTAAGAGTAACGGTGGCCAAGAAAATACCTAAGGTTTGGGAGAAACTGGGGCTCAGGATATATCTGATATTGAGAATGTATCTTGTATGCAAGAAGTATCTGGAAACTCAGGGAGTATCTAGTTATCGAAGGAGTAGCTCAGGAGTAAAAGAGGCCAAGGAATATCTAGGTTTCAGGGAATACATTGAGGTTCAGGGTATTGCTATAACTCAGAAATAGTCAGGGCATGGGAGTATCTGGGAGTTCAGGGAGTATCTGAGACAAGAAAGGAAATGACCTGGAGCAGCTGCTTCAAACATTGTGGGTGCCCATATTTGGCAGCCAGGTGGAGGGCATTGTAACCTGAAAGGAAGAGAGGGTTTACTAGGGCTCCAGATACGCAAGGAGCTCTGACTGCTCCCCAAACTGTGTCAAGTATTTGTGATGACTCAGTTTCCCTGTATCTATCAAGTCTCCAAATGCAGGTATTTCTCAAAACCATGCTACTCCCTGAGGTCAGACTTGCCAAGCCCTGACTAGTCTATGTCTCAGACAATCTCATCTTCGTTATACCCCACACCCACCCACTCCTCAAGCCCTAGTGCCCCAGCTACTTCCCATATCCCTAGCCACTCTACATGCTCAGCCACACTGAAGCACCCTCTATGCCCCTCAGAATCCACAGTTGTTCTGTATATCCTAACAAATCCATACACCTTTGTTATCACATGTGCCAGCTATGTCCCTGTCTTGATACTCTGCAAATCTACTGTTACTCTATACATCCTGGCACAATGCCTGTTGCTGGAAGCTTCAGACATGACTATGCTCCATGTATAGTTACTCCCTGAGCCCCAACTACTCCTTTTGGCTGTGAAGTATATATCAGTTTTTCCCCCAGGTCCCTAGTTAAGTCATAAACTCAGAATTTCCTTTTGTTCCAGCTATTTCCAGAGCTCCAGCTACCTATAAACCCCAGCTGCTCCACATACTCAGGTACTCCCTCCAAATTTACTTATTATTCTCATGCCCTCGGCTACATCTCAAGCTCATATACTTCCTCCATCCCAACTACTTCCTCTGATTCAACCACTACCTGAGTCCCAGCTGCTCCTCATCTACAAATTAACTCACCTTGCTTGGAGATAGCCATGGTCCCTGTCCTTGGGCACTGGTAGCCTGGCATGTCCCCGTGACTCTCTGTGGACACTAAAGGGAACCCCTCCCCCTATTCAGCAAGACATCAAGGACATGAGGCAGGGCCGGGCTGGACCCCCAAGTTGGGCACCTGGTCTGAGTTCCTCCTCTCCCCCGCCCCCGGGCCTGGTGGGCGGTACCTGCCCCGTCTGTGCTCATGACGTTGGCGCCGTGTGCCAGCATCACCTCCAGACAGCTAGCTGCACCCCTCATAGCTGCCAGGTGGAATCTGGAGGTCAGAGGTGAGGGGTAAGCAGCAGGGCGGCCACCCCTCAGCCATCATACCCCCCCTGGGCATGGGCACTCACGCGGACTTGCCCTCGGGGTCCAGCTTCGTGGGCACCAGGCCCTTGCGGACGATGAGGGAGGCCACCCGTGCGGCATCATTGTTCTCCACAGCCTGCAGCAGCCGCTCGTCGCTTTTGCCCCAGTCCTGGCTCTGTGGGCACGCCCAGAGGACCATGGGGCTGGGCAGCCACCGCCCTCTCCCCCTTCCCCTGGTAGGGGCCCTGGGCTCTCACCGCCCGCCCCTGGGCACTTGCCTGGCGCCTGACTCTGGCTGCCGGCTTCGGGATGGGACAGGGACCACAGGGAGGGCAGGAGCCAAGGTCGGTGGGACTGAGCCGCAGCTGTGGGGGGAGGTGGTCTTGGTGGGAGTCTGAGGCAGGGTCCTCCAAGCCAGTGCCTCCCAGCCTCTGTCCCTGGGCCCATCACCCCACTGGTTCACCCAATACCCCGTGTCAGCATCCTCCCACTAAGCCCCCAACATCTTTCCCCACATGCCCCCCATGCCTAGACACCAGTCCCTTAGTGAACAGCCATCTTCCCAACATCACCCTATCAAACTGCTCCCCACAGCTTTCCCTCAGGAACCCCTAAAATGTCCCTTTAAATGTTCCTTGTAACCATCCTTTGCCATTTATCCTTCTACCACTACCCCTGAAATACCACAAATGTCACCCAAATGTCCTCCGAGATCTGTTCCCCAAAACTGAAATGCATTCTAAAATGTCTCCCCAAAGTTCTTGCTGTGTTTTCTAAAACTGTCCCCCCAAATGACCCCATCATCTGTCCCAAAAATATCCTCCACAAAATCTCTCAAATGTCCTCTGAAACTGTCCTCCAAATGTCAGTCTTTTTCCAAAAATGTTCCCCCCAAATAGCATCCAAATTATCTCCCCAAATGACCCCATCCAACACTGTTCTCTGAAACTGTCCCTTCAAAAGCCCTCTGTCCTCAAAGTCCCCATCTGTCTCCCCAAAAGCCTCATCCACCCCCCCCTCTGCCCCTCCCAGCTCATCCTTCCCCGGCCTGGGGCCTGGCGGTGGGGGTCTAGGCCCCTGTGTGATCCGCCGGTGATCAGGGGGCGGGGCGGGCGGGGCGGGGGAAGAGTTAGGACCCAGGCCCTGCTCCAGGCCCCGCCCCTGGCCTACCGCAAAGGAGGTGGCGGCGCACAGACACAGCTGCTTCATGGCATCCTCGGCCAGAGGCCCGGAGGGAGGGGCACGCACTGCCAGAGCTCCGCGACCTGGCCCAGTGCGGTGCCAAACCCACACCGCTCCCTCCTCCACATTTACCCGCTGGCTTGCCCTCCTCCTGGTGTCCTCTCTTACTGGGGGGGGGAGGGGTCCAGGGAGGGAGCTGAGCAGTGGGGGAGGAGCGGGCAGGGAGGGGTGACCTGACCGGCTCGCCCTGAGGAGCTGTAGCCAAGGGGCTTGGCTCCCTGCAGGCTGCCCACTGTATCTCCCAGGAGCTGCCTACTGTGTGGTCTCCACCTCCTTGAAGCCGGCTGGGGCTGGCAGGAGACTCGGCCTGAGCCCTGGACAGCAGAGCCTTCCACTGCCACCCTGACATCCCGGCTCACCCATCAATTCATGCATTCACTCACCATCATTCATTCACTCATTCATTCGCTGCCTCATTCATTCACTGCCTCATTCATTCATTGCCTCATTCATTCACTCAACCACCAGTGGGGATCTGCACTTTGACAAACCTGAATTTGAATCCAGGGCCTCACTCCCTGCACAGCCACATGTATCATGTGACTTTACTAAGATACTTACCTGCCTTGGACTTTACTTTCCTCATCTGGGAAATGGGTTCCATAATAAACAGTAGCTACCGCAGAGGGTTATTGGAGGACCACATGAGATGCTACATGCGAAACACTCAGCACAGTGCACGGCAGATAGTAAATGTGCCATAAATGTGGATTCACTCATCAAAAAAAGGTGTGGTCGGACCTGTGTGCATTCTAATGCTGAATCCTGGGGATGTAGGACATAGTAGCTGCTTAGTTAAATCCCTGAAAGACAGAGAAGACACAGCCTTTGGCTCTAACTCCAAGGGGCTGGCTTGTCCAGAGAGGAGACTGAAATGGATCTCCTGGCTCAGGCCTCACATTTCCAACTGCCCTTGGCCCGTCCTCCTGGAGGCCCCCGCGTGAGCCATGGGCACTGCTGTCCCCCAGGGGCTCAAGCCAAGCTTCGGCATCATCCGACCCCTCTCACTGCACCCCCATCGACCAGCCCGCCCCCGGATGTAAACCACGTCCTGGTCCACCCCTTCCCGCTGGTGGCCCAGCCCCAACACCACGGGTTCCGTTTGGACTTGCAGCCTTCACCCGGATCCTTTGCTTGTCTCCGGCTTCCTAAAACCTGTACCAGCCCCCCTCTCTCTCTCTCCTGCTCCAAAGCCTCCCGCGATCTTTATTTTCCCCAGGTGTCTTTCTTTTTTATAATTTCTATTATTTTATTTTATTTTTATTTTTTTATTTTTTTATTTTTATTTTATTTATTTATTTTTTTTACAGAGAGGAAGGGAGAGAGATAGAGGAGCTAGAAATGTCGATGAGAAAGAAACATCAACCAGCTGCCTCTTGCACCCCCCCTATTGGGGATGTGCCCACAACCAATGTACATGCCCTTGACCGGAATCGAACCCGGGACCTTTCAGTCTGCAGACCGACCCTCTACCACTGAGCCAAACAGGCTTCGGCTATAATTTCTATTTTTTTAATATTTCAAGTAAGATGATTTTAAATATAATAACGTTACATGCAATCCAGCGATCTTACTTGCATAAAAGACAGGCTGCTCAGAGGCCCGGGAGGTCCTGTGTTGGAGGATCTGCAAACAGTGACGATCCTCAGCCAAATCCCACCCCTGCCTGGTTTGTCAGGCTCAAGGGCTCAGAATGGGTTTGACACTGATAAGTGTAAAATCATTGGGGGGGGGGGGGTTAAAAAGAATAATCTTTCATGACACGTGAAAATCATGTGAATTTTACATTTCAGTGTCCATAAATAAAGTTTTATTGGGACAGAGCCATGCCCATCTATTAAAGATGGCCATGGCTGCTCCCAAGCTGCAATGGCAGAATTGAGGTCTGAGGGCCCAAGAAGCCAAAAATATTTACTGTCTGGCCCTTAACGGGAAAAATGTGCCCACCCCTTTCTAAACAGCCTCGCCCCTTGTCAGGTGCCTGAGCTCACCGCCCCTTACATTATCTCCGCTGGTCTGACCCGTCTGCCGCCGCCACACGCGCAGCCTCGTCTCCGGCGCCATCCCTCTGCTCTGTCTACATGGCTGACCCCTTTACTACTGTCCGCGCTGGAAGCCACCCCTCAGACAGCCTGCTCTGACCACCCTTTCGAAGGGCTTATTTCTCCTTCATTGCTCTGTCCCCATCGGATGTCATCCTGTGTACCTTTCTGAGAACATGTGTGCTTTTGTTTCTTCCCTTCTGTTTCTCCGTGGCCTCTCCCTGAGAAAGTCATTTCCACACGGGCAGGGGTTTCAGTCCATCTTGGTTACGCTGTATTCCTAGCAGGAACTGGGGATAGATTTTGCAGGGCCCAGTGCAAAAGGAAAATTCGGGGTTCCCTTGTTAAAAAAAATTATTAAGAATTTTTCCCTAGCTGGTTTGGGTCAGTGCATAGAGCAATAACCTGTGACTGAAAGGTCCCGGGTTCGATTCCGGTCAAGGGCATGTACCTTGGTTGTGGGCACATCCCCAGTAGGAGGTGTGCAGGAGGCAGCTGATCAATGTTTCTCTCTCATCGATGTTTCTAACTCTATCCCTCTCCCTTCCTCTCTGTAAAAAAAAATCAATAAAATATATATATTTTTAAAAATTATTAAGAATTTCAAGGTAAGCCCAGCTGGTTTTGTTTAGTGGTTAGAGCATCAGTCCACAGAAGGGTCTCAGGTTTGAGGAGGATCCAAGATGGCTGCGCCCAGGTGAACACCTAGCCGCAGCCGCACACAACAATTTCAATAAAATACAACTAAAATATAAAACGGACATTGCCCAGAACTACAGGAAGGTTGACTGACTGGAAATTCTACAGCGAGAAGCAAGGAGAAAACCAGAAGGAGGCTTGGAGGAGCTGGAAAAGCCCAAGGTACGGAGACGCGGCGCGCGGAGAGGACGGAGCCAGAGAGGAGGGAGGCCGAGTGCCTGGCGGGCGTTCCCGAGCGGAAAGGAGAGAAAAGCTCCGACTGTGCTGGGCCCCCAACTGCTCTGAACCCGGTTCTGGGCCAGACCCCGGGGACTCAGGCTCTGCCATAGGGAGCCGGGCTGTAAGGCGGAACCCCGGGGAGAGGCGAAAGGAGGTCCCGGAGGCGCGCACACGGCGCGCAGAGAAGGGACAGTCGGTTGTGCCGCGAGATTGCCCTGACGAGAGGGAGACTGGGGCTCCAGACTGCTCTGAACGCCACCTCCAACTCCACTTCCAACTGAACTGAACCCCAATACCGGGCTCATTAGGGGAGAGCATAGACTGTTTGGCAACAGGCGAAAATCAAGGGCACCTTTCTCTCAGAGGCGCTGGCAGCGAGCACTGAAGGACCCGCATAGGGCGGGGCTGACGAAAGCCAAAGCTGCAGGCTCCACCCTGAAACCGCGTCCCATCAGTAACTGCGAAATGCGACAACAAAATAGATCACAAACGAAAGAAATGGAGGACAAAAAGCGTCTGGATATAGAGTTCAAATCTACGCTTATAAGGTTTTTCAAGAATTTCCTAGAAAAGATGGATAAGGCCTATGAGGATATGAAAAGAGATCAACTAGAATTAATAAGGAGTCAACAAGAAATGATAAGGGATCAACAAGAAATAAAGAATACATTGTCTGAAATAAAAAATATTTTACTGAGTCCTAAAAACAGAAGGGAAGATCGCAAGAATCAAGTCAAAGATTTGGAACATAAAGACCCAGAAGACACTCCTCCACAGAAGCTAGAAGGCAAGAGAATCCAGAAAATTGAAGATAATGTAAGAAACCTCTGGGACAACTTCAAGCGAACCAACATCAGAATTATGGGGGTCCCAGAAGATGAGAGAGAGCAAGATATCAAAAACATACTGAAAGAAATAGTGACAGAAAACTTCCCCTACCTGGTGAAAGAATTAGACTTACAAGTCCAGGAAGCGCACAGAACTCCAAACAAAAGGAATCCAAAGAGGACCACACCGAGACACATCATTATTAAATTCCAAGAGCAAAAGACAAAGAGAGAATATTAAAAGAAGCAAGAGCAAAGAAGGTAGTAACCTACAAAGGAGCACCTATACGATTGTCAGCTGACTTCTCAACAGAAACCATGCAGGCCAGAAGGGAATGGCAAGAAATATTCAAGGTGATGAATAGCAAGAACCTACAGCCAAAAATAATCTACCCAGCAAAGCTATCACTCAGAATCGAAGGCCAGATAAAGAGCTTCACTAATAAAAAAAAGCTAAAGGAGTTCATCACCACCAAACCAGAATTATATGAATTGCTGAAGGAGGTTCTTTCAGAAGAGAAAGTAAACAAAGATAAAAATTATGAACAACAAATACATAACTATCAACAAGTGAATATAAAAACCAAGGAAATTAAAAAAATCTGATGAACAATATTAACTGTTGAATATAATAGAATCAGAGGTATGGAAGGGGAGTGAACTGATGATTCTTGGGGAAAAGGGGAGAGGGGGGCGTGGGAAGAGACTGAACATAAACTGTGCACCTATGGATGAGGACAATGGGGAGAGGGGAAAGGGCAGAGGGCGGGGTGGGAACCTGGTGGAGGAGAGCAATGGTGTGTGTGTGGGGGGGAAAGGAACATTTGTAATAATATGAACAATAAAAACTTATTTAAAAAAAAAAAAAAAAAAAAAAAAAGGGTCTCAGGTTTGATTTCCTGGTCAGGGGCACATATTTTAGTTGAGAGTTGGTCCCTGGTGCTAGTTGGGGTGTGTGTAGGAAGCAATAAATCAATGTGTCTCTCTCACAACGATGTTT